CCTTGGGGACTGTGCCGCTGTTGCTGTGGCATTGCCACTGCCCCTCAGGCTGTTCTGAGAGGAGCAAGGTGCAAGTGTGCGGAGGACTCAGCTCACGCCTCACTGATGGGAAGCTTGTGGTCGCAGGAGTGATTGTAGTTGTCTCATAGGGTGGTAACACTTTGAGTAGGGGAAGGACCCTCTTTCCTAGCAGGGTGTCACCCCTCCCCTGCTCCTCTGGGTGAGGTCTGGAGAAGAGGAAGACCGGGAGAAGACAATGACTGCTGTTGGTCATTTGGGAAAGCCCTGAGTTGGCCAGTCGTGGACAGTCAGCCACAGCCACTGTCATCAGCTAATCCAATGACTCCTAAACTGCAGTCGCTGGAACAGCAGCGTTAGGATTATCAGGGGACTTTGCTCAGAGCCTACCTCCCACTTCCTAGGTCTGATGCTCTAGGAGTGGAATCAGTGTACTAACAGCTGATTCTGACACCCTCACGAATCAGAGCCAGAGATCAAGGCAAACCCTGCACTTGGTCATCCCTAATTGTCTCGCTGCCCTCTCGGGCAAATGACATAGTCACAGAATGGGGTGGGGGTGGAAAGTGGAAGATTATGATAAGCCTCATGATACACTCCAGCCAGCAGAGCGAGCCAGGCAGCAGGCATCTGTCGCAGCTCTGCCTCCAGGCCTGAGCCAGGGAGAGTGAGGGTCCCCAGCTGCAGTTGCACAACTCGGGCAGAAGTGCTTTCAGCTGGAAATGGTGGGGGTGCAGACCAGCCAGCTCTTGGGTGTCACAGAGACGACATGTCTAGTGGGAGAAATGAAGCCCCACCCTTACTTGTTGTGTGAATGAAGCTACGTGCTGGTCCTACAGACACATGCAGACCTCAGTCGCCAAGCTCCTTCCCCTGGTTTCCTGCCTCCCCAAGTTCCAGGCAGTTCTCGGTGGCCGAGGACTTCTCAGGAAGGCCAAGGCTACTTCTGGGTCACCTGCTCTGGAATTCTGGCCCTAGTCTTGCTGTTGATTTACTGGTCGTGGTCTCAAGTCTGTCTCTCCCTGGGCTCTGATGCTTTGCCAAGAAGAGTGAATGTGGGGTGTTCTCTGACAGGTCAAGTGTGAAAGTACCCTCTCTATTCTTTTTTTAGATTTAATTGTTTATTTGAAAGCTAGTGTTACAGAAAGTGAGATCTTACATCTGCTGGTTCACTCCCCAAATGGCCACAAGGACTGGGCCAGACCAAAGCCAGGAGCTTCTTCCAGGTCTCCACAGAAGTGAAGGGGCCCAAGCATTTGCACCCTCCTCTGCTGCTTTCCTGGGTGCATTAGCAGGGAGCTGGATGGGACGTAAAACATTGAGGACATGAACCAGTGCCCATGTGGCATGCCCACAGTGTAGCTGTCACAACCAAGGTCTCAACCCAGCCAAAACAGTCCATAAACTCCCCACCAGGGGGCGGTGAGGTTCAGGGGGCTTATAAGCAACCTTCGCCAAGGGGAGCCCCAGAAAGCTGAGATACATCTGGTTAGAGCTGGGGAACCTCTTCTGTGGATGCAAACCAGTAACCAATAACTTAGTTTTGGTGATCTGGTGTTTGGATATTGGTGGGCAGGAGTGAGGACTTTTTCCTGCCAGGCTATTTGAATGTTTATACCATCACTTGTTATCAACTTAAACATGAGTCTACTTTAGCTGTATTAAATTTCTAGCCCTATCTGTGCTTTTGCCTTGGTAGGGCCAGACTACATGACTTCATGCCTCCTCTCATCTGCCAGCTCACTCCCTGCATGTCTAGGAACAGATTTAGCCCAGGACTCCCACATGGGTGCTAGAGACTCAGCCACTGAAGCAGTCACCCACCTGTGGCCTCCTAGGTGCAGTACCATCAGGGAGCTGGGCTGGAAGTCAAACTGAAGCCCTCCAACCTGGTGTCTAAACCACTGAGCCAAGCACCTACCTATGGGGCATTAGTTTAGAGACAGAATGGCTGGGGATGCCTCTCCAAGGAAGTGGATATTAGACCAAAGACCTGGATGAGCAAGGGAGCAGCAGGCAGTGGAAACATCAAAAGCCAAGAGATGGGAAGGTGGGAGGACCAGGATGTCGCAGGGGCAGAAGTGCAGGGAGTTATGGGTAGAAGGGGGTGGAGAGGATCAAGTTCAAGTGGTGGAGGAGAAGAGCAGACCTCGAGGGCCTGGCTGGACCTTCTCCAAGCGGGCTGGGAGGGAAGTGGAGAGTTCTGAAGGGAGCTGCACAGCGCACTTAGGACAGAGAGTGGGTTCCTTGAAGGCAAGGGTGATTGGTGGCCAGGAGGTCAGCTGGGGTCAGGTGCTGGTGGCTTGAACAGGATAGTGAGATCTGGTCTCCATAGGGATATATTCTGAAGGTGGAGATGCTGGAATGTGCTGTGGGATGGAACATGAAGGATGAGAGAAGGGAAGAATCAGGATAAGACTGATCCTCAGGCCAGGTCCCTGGAGCAGTGGTGGAGTCCTTACGAGATGGGCAGAGTGGAGGTGAACTGAATTTGTTTCTGAACACTGAGTAGCTGTGTGGACAGTTGAGCTGCTCTACCCCAAAGAGGCTGCAGCATGCTCATGCCTGCTGTGTTGGGCCCGGTGGCGTGGCCTAGTGGCTCATGCCTGCTGTGGTTGTCGTTAGGGCCAGGCCAGGAGTAAAAGTCACTGTTTGTAGTATTAAGGGAACACATTTCAGACTGTAAGTGCTCACCCTGGTGGCACAGAGACTGAAATTGGAGCCATACAGAGTGTGGCCTGGGCCAGAAGCACACTCAGTGTGAGGAATCCACTGCTCTGAGCCGTGTGCCAACCAGACATGTGACCCTGACTTGGGTGTGACACATATACACATGGACCTTAGCATCATGGGACATCCTATACAGATTTTTTTTTTAAATTTATTTTGTTTCTTTGAAAGGTTGTTACACACAGAGATATCTTTCATCATCTGGTTCACTTCTCAAATGGTCACAACAGCCAGGGCTGGACCAGGCCAAAGTCAGGCACTTCATCAGGGTCTCCCATGTGGGTGCAGGGGTCAAGCACTCAGGGCATTTTCTGCTGCTTTTCCTAGGTACATTAGCAGGGATTTGGGTTGGAAGTGGAGCAGCCAGGACCTAAACCAGTATCCGTATGAGATGCTGGTGTCAAAATCTGTGGCTTAACCTGCTATACCACAATGCTAGTCCTGTACATAGTGTTTTTAGTGTGTCTATTTGAGGAAAAAAAATCAGTAAGTAGGTAAATAAATACTTGCATTAGTTTTTAAATAGCCAATCAATCCACATTTATTCTGAAAAGCATCATGAACACTGATCTGTGAAAATCGAGGCCGAAGCTGATGGCTCCATCTTGTCTCCCAGAGCTCGAACAGCCCCCGTTCCCACTCCAGGGTCCCAGTGCCCTTCCCAGTGTCTTCTGCTGCCGTTTCCTGATTCCCGAAGCACCAGGTGGCAGCTCAGCAATGGGGCTGAAGGATTGCTGTTAAGGATTTCTCTGTGGGCTCCGGTGGGCGGGGTGTCTGGCAACAGCCATTCCTGGAGAAGGGGGCTGGCGATGACCTCAGGTAGAGCCCTGCTGTCAGAGGTCCATTTATGAAGTGGAATTGCTGGAACTCTGCTCCTGCCCCTCCATTCCTTGAGTTTGCTGACTCAGCTCTTGGGTGAACCTGGCCAAGGAGGCCTCCTGCTAACTCATCAATCCACACCTTGGGCTGACTGACACCTGCTACTTTCCTCCTCCTCTATACAGGACCATTTGCTGGTCTGCAGCCCCAGGTCCTGCCCTCTGAGAAGGAGTAGGAGGGCTCAGGCAAGCTGGGTCCTACACCCCATTTTATACACAAGGAGATTGATCTGGAGAATGGGGTGGGAGGGGGCTTCCCCAGGACCATAGAAACAGGCGGGCCTGGGATGTAAACCCAGCCCAGTTGGACCTTGAGTCTGTGCTCTCAGCATTGAGAAACACATGTAGATAGTGACTTGAACCTAATCCAGAGTCAGCCATCAGACCAGAAAGGTGCAGGTGAATGACAGGCTTGACGGTGAGGCGCCATGCGGCATCAGCAGTGGTGCAGGAGTAGAGAGCCTTGGCACAGGTGCATGTGTTCCCAGGGAAGCTCCTTCCTTCTGCAGTGTCTGCCAGGCTACATGCATACTCTATCCCACAGAGCTGTCCTTCCTGGGATCCAGTGCCACTCCTGGGGCTGCAGGTGCATCCTGTGTCCTCAACCTGCCCTTTCACCTCTGCACATTCTCTCCAAGGCACCAGCTCTTCCTCCTCCCCTCTTGTCATCCACTGGGAAATTAGAGACCCTGACCTTCCTCTTAGCTCTGTCCCCTCCCCCAAGCTGAGTGAACCAATTCCTTCTCTGGGCTTTGCTGTCTTCATGTTCACAACTGGAAATGAGGGATGTGTTGGATGGCTATAGTTTGAGGTTCTTTCCATGGAACGTCTGACTTGGGGTACGTTGGCGGCTTTCTTGGGCGCTCCAGGCCTAAGGCCAGCTCCATGCTGCTTGCGTCAGCCCCCTGCACCCTTCCCTTTCTGCCTAGGAGAGGGCGCCTACCCTCACTCATTCTGCTAAAGTCTCATTACTTAATTCTAGAAGAATCCCTGAAGGTGGCAAACAGTAGTTGTCCTTCCACCACGCTGCAGTGTGTTGGGAAGATGGTCCCTCCTTCAGCCGCTGACCTTCTCTGTGCCTGCAGTGAGGATCCTGCAGGTCTTCTGAGCCCGCCTGTACCTCCCACTCACAGTTGCACCTGTAGGTGGGGACCATTGCGAGGGTTGTGAGGTTTCTATGAGCTCAGCACCCCACAATGGGCCAGCACAGGACCAAGGACCCTGCACAGGAACTTGGACCCTGATTCTCCTTGGGAAAGAAGCCTCCCAGATAATGTGTCCTTCCTCCCCCAGACACTCTAACCCCTGGCAGCGGCTCTTGGGATACCCTGTGCCTCCAGCAATTTAATCCTCTCCTTCTTGTTGCAATTGCAGATTTTTGCTGGTCTTCAGCTGCCTGGTGCTGTCTGTGCTGTCCACTATTCAGGAACACCAGGAACTTGCCAACGAGTGTCTCCTCATCTTGGTGAGGGCAGGGGTCCAGGTCTGGGATCAGGGCTAAGACGGGCTATGTGAGGCAGCACCTCTGGGCTAAGGGCTGAAGTCACTCATTGTGGCTCAGAGAATGACTTGCTGGTCCCTGAGAGGGGGGCTGCATCTGTCTGGGCATCATCCTCAATGCCATAACAGGTGGTAGGGTTCTCCTGCCACTCTGTGAAGCTTAGGGTGGACCCAGATGGAGGAGGTTAGAAGAGGGCTCTGTCTCAGGACAAAAACTGCTAAGCCCCCTCTGACCTGATGAGACTTATTTATTTTTTTTTAAAAAAAGATCTATTTATTTATTTGAAAGCATGGTAGAGACAGGGAGAGGCAGTCAGAGACAGGGAGGGAGAGAGAATCTTCCACTCATTCCCCTAATGTCTGTAATAGCACCAACTGAGCTCGGCTGAAGCCAGGAGCCATAACTCCATCCTGGTCTCCCACGTGGGTGGCAGGAACCCAAGTACTTGGGTCATCTTCCACTCTTTTCCCAGGCACATTAGCAGGGAGTTGGGTCAGAAGTGGAGCAGCTGAGACTTGAACTGCAGTCCCATCATTTGATGACTGCCTACTGTGGCTTGGTCCACTGCACCACAGTGCTGGCTCCTGGGGTGGTGGTGATGATTATTTTTTGTTTTGATTGCTTTTTTTTTTTTTGCCTTAAACAATAACCGAACATTATGGAATAGAAGCTTCTTGGTGGGGCAACGGCCGTTAGGCCACCTGGTCAGGGTTAAGGAGTATGGGATGGTGGCAAGGGGGGGTGCAGGATGAGGAATTGAAATCCAGATGGTTCCAGATGGGGGCAGGAAAGGGAGGACAGACTTGGGCTTGGAGGGTAAAGGGCTACCTGCCTTCTGGAATCCTCTGCAGCTCTAATTACAATTAATGGAAACCTGGGGGTTGGGTCTGAAGAGGTCCTGGTACTCCTAGTCCAGGGTCTCTGGAGGGGGGGTGTGCCCCGAACCCTGGACCCCTGGCTGGTCGTGGGGACCACACTTGGGTGCTGTCCTGCAGGAATTCGTGATGATCGTGGTCTTTGGCTTGGAGTATATCGTGCGCGTGTGGTCAGCAGGATGCTGTTGCCGCTACCGAGGATGGCAGGGCCGCTTGCGCTTTGCCAGGAAACCCTTCTGCGTCATCGGTAACAAGCGGGACACTCCCGACCTGAGCCCAGTTACTGATACCCCTTTAACCGACGTGCCCGAACCGTCCCGATTCCTAGTCCCGGTCCAGACGCGGGATGCCCCAGGGTTCCAGGTGCCAGTTGAGCTCTCTCTCCCCGCCCCGCCCCTGCAGACTTCATCGTGTTCGTGGCCTCGGTGGCCGTCATCGCCGCGGGCACCCAGGGCAACATCTTTGCCACATCAGCCCTGCGCAGCATGCGCTTCCTGCAGATTCTGCGCATGGTGCGCATGGACCGCCGCGGCGGCACCTGGAAGCTGCTGGGCTCGGTGGTCTACGCGCACAGCAAGGTGAGAGCGTGTAGCTTGAAGGATCCGCTGGGCAGGGTCAGGGGCACAGGGCCGTGGGAATCGGGATGGGGCCTGGGGATAGGGCTGGGGGGCGGAGGGACTAGGTGTAGGGCAGGGTTCGCAACCTGGGAGTTAGGAACTCCAGGCAGGCTAGGGCACATCTGGGGTCCTGCGCAGGATCTCCTGGAAAGGAGAAGCTGAAACAGCCAGGCGGGCGGAGACATGGTGTCCTGGAGCCCCAGGGTAGAGGGTGGGCCTTGGGGTTACCCTCCAGGGCGCGCGGGTGCCCCATGCCTCTCCCAGGTGAGCCAGGCATCCCTCACGCAGCCAAGGCCTATCCCCGCAGGAGCTGATCACCGCCTGGTACATTGGGTTCCTGGTGCTCATCTTTGCCTCCTTCCTGGTCTACCTGGCCGAAAAGGATGCCAACTCTGACTTCTCCTCTTACGCCGACTCGCTCTGGTGGGGGACGGTGCGTGAGGGCCCAGGCAGGGTCCCCCTTCTCCCTGGGCCCCTCCCCGGGAATTCTGGCTCCCAACTCAGAGCCGGTCTGTCCCTGTCCCTCCCACTAGGGTTTGGACCCTTTCACCAGGTGCCTGTGATCATCCCCTACAACCTGCTGGAAGAGGCTTCCTTGTCCTATTCCCTGTAGCCCCCATTCAAGCCTTGGGCCCACAATCGAGGAATTCATTCATTTCCCTGCACCAGCCCTGGGACCGGCCCTGGTGACCAAGGGTGCCCCTCCTGTCTCTGTCCTCAATGTGTGACTGGTCCTGTGTAATCAATCCTGCTGTAAAGCCGATTGTGCCCCCAGATCACGCTGACGACCATCGGCTATGGTGACAAGACCCCGCACACGTGGCTGGGTAGGGTCCTGGCTGCAGGCTTCGCCTTACTGGGCATCTCCTTCTTCGCCCTGCCCGCTGTGAGTGTCTTCTGCCAGGTTGGAGGGAGGCAATGCTGGGGACACCCTGGCAGACTCTTGTTCCTTGCCCCCATGGCCCCAACCATGCCCTGTTGCCCTAGGGCATCCTAGGCTCAGGCTTCGCCCTGAAGGTTCAGGAGCAGCACCGGCAGAAGCACTTTGAGAAGCGGAGGATGCCCGCGGCCAACCTCATCCAGGTGCGCCCAGGAGTGGGCCATGGTGTACCCCCCAGGAGTCGCTGTTTTGCAATTCCCGGAGCCCCAGACAGAGCTGAACTGCTGGCCGAGACCATCAGGAACCTTCCCCTGCACTTCTTGCTCAGAAGAGGGCAAGGCTGAGCTGCCCGGTTGTGCCAATTCCAGCCGCAGCTTTGCAATGACATGGGTCACAGGGGAGCCTGGACAGGAAGCACCAGGCTGAGGGGTCAACTCCCTCTGCCGGGGCCACTCCTAGAGCCTTAAGCCATCAGTTAATGCCACCAGCACCAGAGGAAGTGGTCCAGACCTGTCTGGGAAGACACTAGGAGACAGAGGACAAGCAGCTGGAAGAGGTGGTTGGAGGGCCAGGAGCCCCCTCAGTGGTCTCTGTTTACCTAGGGCATTCTGACTGGAGCACCAGGGCTTTGGTTTTCTGTGACGGGAAATAATTCCAGGACAGGAGTTGGGTGAGATGACGACAGTCCACCTCTGCCTGCTCCCCAGCATACCACCTTGTGACTCCCCAAATCCAAGCCAGATTCCACACTTTCTTATCTCCCCTCCCCAGGATGGGACTCCCCTCAACCCTGGCTATCTCTAGCCACCAGCCTGGCCTTTTCTTCTGCGTGTCCCTTGGGGCACAATGGGCACTGTCCCTTGGGAGCCAGCCTTAGAAGGGGCATTGAAGGGGCAGGCGTCTGGCACCGTCCATGCCGAAAGACAGCTGGCATTGTGGTGCCCATAATTAATGAGACAGCTCTGGCAGTTGCTCCCAGCCCATGCCAGGGGCCTAGGCAAGCAGGAAATAAAAATACTCTTGTCTTTAGCAGGCACCCGGCCGGTGAGGTCAGCAGTGGCAGCCCCATAAGAAGAAGGGGTGCCCAGTAAGAGGGTGTACCCGGAGCCTAGTTCCACTATGACCTATCTGCCTAGCAGCTTCCATGGCTCCCTGCCTTTCCAATCGCCCCACTCCCAGTCTCTCCCCAGATCTTCTCCTTACCTGGAAGGAGAGGACCGGTCCTTCCTCTTATCTGACCTTCTTCCATCCTGCTGCAAAAGGTGGCCCAGGGCCCTGCTCTTTCCTTCCTTCCTCAGCCCACGGCAGTGGCTGGAAAGATGGACTGGAGTTCTTATTAGTGATAATCATTCCTTCAGTCACCACTCATTCCCCAGCCACTGTGCAAGCTGAGACAGAAACCAAGGCGATGCTCACCATTAGAGGGGAAAGACATCCATCAGACATGCAGGTGTGAGAAGAGAGTTGTTGAGTGGAGGATTCTGGCGTAAATGTGCCAGGCACATAGTTTAGCTTTTGATTTACATATATCTGCACTGTTAGGTGAGTGATATTAGGCCCATTTTAGAAGCTGAGGTGCTGAAGTTCTACTTGCCTGCCTGAGTAAGGGGCAGAGCTGGGATCAGAATCCCATGCCTGCCTGCCAGTTTGTACCCCTCTAAGGGCCCTGATGTTGGTCTGCTGGGGAAGTCATTTCTCCTTGGGCTTCAATTGCCAGGCTGGCTCTGCTGGTGGCTGTAGAATTAGACCTGGCCTCTGGCTCTGGAGAACCCTCCAGCAGGCCCAGGGGCTGGGTCCTTTCAGGGCAGGGTACTGGGGTGGAGGAGCTGGGGGGGTTGCCTCATGGGAGCCCATTCCTTCCCTGCCCTGCAGGCTGCGTGGCGCCTATACTCCACAGACACGAGCCGGGCCTACCTGACGGCCACCTGGTACTACTACGACAGCCTCCTGCCGTCCTTCAGGTAGGTCCTGGTGGGCATGGACATGAGTGGGGAGCTGGCAGTCATGTCCTGTAAGGACAAGGGATTCAGCCCTGTAGAGTGGGGAGGGGGTGACAGCCCCATGAAGCCTCTGGGATTGGCTGTGCTGGTGCCACAAGGGGCCGGAGTGTGCCCTCCTGGCTGTGTAGTCCCTGGGAGCAGCCCTGCCCCACTTCAAAGCCCTGGACTCACAGGGAGCTTGCAGTTTCCTCGCCTACCACTAGGTGATGCCCCCAGGGCAGGGGCACAGCCAGCGCCTCTCTGCAGACAGTATTGGTACTGACCAACCCGGGTGGAGAGAGTGTGGTTTGGGCAGGAATGTGTGTGCCAGGCTGGGATGCCTAGGACCACCCCCTAACCCCCGTGCACGAGTTTGTGCGCGTTTTTGCTGGACGGGGCCAGGCTGTGACCGCATGGGGGTGGCTGCATGCAGGGGTTATTAATAGCCTGGGAGGTGTGTGTGGCCAGGTGCCTGTCCTGGCCCTCAGGCGGGAATGAAGATGCAGAGCTTGGCTCAGTCCCACAGGCGGGCGCTGCTGGGCCAGGCTGCTGTACTCAGCGCTTCTGCGGGAGTCTTTGCCTCATTAGTTCTCCAAGAGCAGGTGTTGGGTGATCCTGTTTGCCCCCGCACCTGGCTCTCCTCCCCAGGCTCTCTCAGCCCCTGGGGGCTCTCCAGGGGTCAGAGCAGGAGGGAAGGGGCACGCTCAGGATCAGGCACACCCCCATCACTCCACCTGGCAGAGGCAAGCTCCCTGCCCACACACAGGCAGAGGTGATGTTAGCTTGGAGGAAGCCTGCTTTTCTAGAAGCAGCAGTTGTGGTGTCTGGGCTCGGGAAGTGGAGCCTGAGCTGATTTGTTAGCAATAGGATAGGGGCGAAGGAGGGGAAATGTCGGAGTGGGCATGGGGGTGGTCTGGGCCCCCATGAGAGGGACAGAGCCTGGTTTGGAGACTCTGGGGCCCTAGTATCTCCTGCCTCCTGGACCTCAGTTTCCTCATCTGTACAACGGGAAATCAAGCAGGAGAAGAGAGGCTGTGCTCGCAACAATGGGAAGTGGCCCGGAGAGTTAGAAAGAGGCCAATAGCAACAGATAGGGTCTCAAAGGGGCAGTGAATGGCACAGGGGAAGGGAGCTGGGCCAGCTACCCCTTTGGCTTCCTTGCCTCAGCCGGAGTCTCTACCTCAGCAGCAGAGCCACATTAGAGGGAAGGTCTCGGGGCTGCTGGCTGAGCACAGAGCAGGCCTGATGCAAGCTCCCATAGGGAGCCTTGGGCAGCTGCCCTTGAATTGTGCTCAGCCTGCACAACCATTCCTGGTATCCCTGGGGAGTTCCCAGGATCGCACAGGAGAGAGGGCAGTTTTCTGTTCCCCTGTCCCTCACACTACCTGCCCGGGCCTGGGGGTGTTTGTGAACACCTGTAGGGAAGCAGAGCCTGGAAGGATTTGACCTGTAGAACTCAGTGCCCACTGGGTGAAGGGGTGGTGCCAGGGCCCTGCCTCCTGCTGATGGCGCCCTCCCCTGCAGAGAGCTGGCCCTCTTGTTTGAGCACGTGCAACGGGCCCGCAATGGGGGCCTCCGGCCCCTGGAGGTACGGCGGGCGCCGGTCCCCGATGGAGCGCCCTCCCGTTACCCACCCGTTGCCACCTGCCACCGGCCAGGCAGCACCTCCTTCTGCCCTGGGGAAAGGTAGGGGCCCTCGGGGGCCGCCACCTGCTCGTGCGTCTCTTCTTCTTCCATTCTTTGTCTCATTCTTTCTCAGACTTGCCTTCAGCCACTATGTGGGTGTCTAGGCCTTTTGGGGGGACATTCAGGCCTTGTCATGAGGCCCGGGCAGGTGTCATCAGTTGCACAGACAGGTACAGGCTGAGAGGGTCTCTCTGGAGAGGCCAGGCTGGGCTCTGAGGGTCTACGTGGGGAGAGGCTCACTCCATTCTTTCCCACCACCTCTTCCGTTCATGCCATTGTCTTTCTTTCTCTGTTTCCACGTCCCCCTCACTCTTCCATCCCTGCATCCCCATCCCTCTGGGAAGCTGGAGAGAGGAGGAGGCCGCTGGCCACAGGTGCTTACGGCTCAGGTAATCGTGGGCACCATCCTGGGATGTGAGGGCCGGGGACCCCCTCCCCTGGCATGTTGCTCTGGAAAGGCCTTGGTCCCTGAGCAGGAGACCAGCTGGGAGGAGAGCGCCGTGGGCCCCACAGGCACTCACCTGGGGACCAGTGCTCTTGGCTCCACCGACAAGGGGCCTTCTGGGAGGTTCACCCCTGCACACAATCTCTTTCCCCCTGAGCCTGCTTCACATTTTGAAAGAAGGACAAAGAAGGATCAGTGCTTCCTCCCACCTAGCCTGGGGACTCTTCAGGCACACACAGAGCAGGAAAGGCAAGTCCGCTCCTCGCTGACCCAGGGGCTGTGCTTGGCAAAGTTTAGCTTTGAGGTCAAAGATCAAGGTCTCCTGCCTTCCCCACCACCCCACATCCTCTCCATCCTTCACTCACTTCATTTTCACACCCCATCCCTGAACCATCAGGGGGTACCTGGCCTGGAGTCTCAAGTGCCATTCTCTGTCCCAGGCCCCCACCCAGGGAGGAGGGGCGAGGAAGAGATGAGCAGGCAGTGCAATTCTGCCATCTGAGACTGTGTGGCCTTGAGAACCTCATCAAGGTTCCCTGGACCTCCATGTCCTGGCAGAAAAAGAGTGTGTGCAGCCAGTCAGGGGCTCTGTCTGGGTCCTCTAGGTTTCTGGGTTGAAGAGACCTGCCAGCTGGGGATCCCCCCAGGGCAGGTAAATTTCGATGCAGAGAGCATCACTGCTTCCTGGTGATGCTGAACAGGAAGTGGGTGGAGAAGCTTGGGGCTGGAAGGAGGGGATGCATGGCCTACCTGGCTAGGCTGGGAGACTTTCAGAGCCATCCTGACCCTCCCAGATGGCGGTGCTCAGCTCCAGTTCCGTGCCTTTGGCATCTCAGCCTGAGCCAGGTCTCTTAGAGCTTCTGGTTTGCTCCAGTTCCTCCCACCCTCCTCGCCTGGCCAGGAAGCAATGGTTGAGAATTGCAGTGACAGTGGTGGTGAATTGCCAGGCTCAAGCCAAACAGCCACATCCTTCATCTTGGCTGCCTGGGCCCTGTGGGGATGAATGCCCCATCCAGAATGCCACCCTGAGCGTGTGCATACACACACACACACACACACACACACACACACACACACACACACACACGTGCGCCCACACACCTGGCTGGCCAGGCCTTCAGTGGGGCTTGGCTGTGGAACCAGGTTGAGCGTGTTTCCCGGAAGCAGAGTGACAATCTAAGGCATCCTGGGGGCTGCCCCTGCCAGGCCTGGTGCCAATCTTCTTAAGAGATTTGCAATAGTTTCTCCAAGTGTGGTTTTCTGGCTTCCTGCAGCAGCCCCCAGGTCTCTTCCTGAGCAGACAGGAGGCTGTCCGGAGAAGAAGGCTCAGGAAGCCACATGGTTATGCTCCCAGGGGAGCCCTCCACAGAGCACCAGGCCTCCTGCCTTCTGGAGACAAGGCAACAGGCCTGGGGTGAAGGTCCACAGGGAGCTCGGCCCCCTTCTGCCAGCTGCCCACACTCTGCCCACCAGCCCCTTCCCCACTAACCTTGTTCGTGTCTTGTTCTCAACCTTCCAGCCAGATGTTTAGTAATAAACGGAGTTTCTTTCGGATCCACGCCAGCTGGAGACCGAGGTACCCCCTCGCCTGCTTCTCCTGTCCCCACTCATCCTTGCCCCATCCCATTTCTGGGGCCGGAGAGGGGGACAGGATGGGCCAAGGCCAAGGTGCATGTGCCTGCCGCCTGCCGTTTGCCTTGGGGCCCTGGCAAACCCCTCCCCACATTTCTGGGGATGCCTCCGCCAAGCCTAGGCATGGGTCCACTGGGCCTCGAGGGTCACTTGCAGGAGCCTTGGGGATGTGTGCTGGCTCAGCCATGACTCCCCATATAATCCCAGCCAAGCTGTTTCCCTTCTCTGGGCCTCAGTTCCTCATCTGGGGAATGGGCAGATTTTACTAGAGACTCTCTGAGGGGTCCTTCCTACTCTGACTTTGCTGGACCTTGGGTGTAGCTTCCAGTTTCCCCCACTGCCCACCTGGGAGCCTCACGGAGGCTTTGGGGCACTGGCATGGGTATCCTTGCGTGAGCGCTGGAGCCCTGGCTCTTTTAGCTGTATCACCAGCATTTCCTTGGTTCCTGCCCTTAGCTAGGCCCTGCTCTCTGCACCTGGGACATGGATGAATGAAGGAAACCTGGGGCCTGGGGAGCTGCAGAGAATGACCACAGCTCCATGGGAGGTAGAAAAGGGGCTGTGGGGCTTAGGGAAGACACTGAGCCCGGGGGCACCCTGGCCGAGGAGGCTGCCCAGATCCAGGCCCAGGCAAGGAGATCCAGGCCCAGGCAAGGAGGTGAGGACACAGGCCAGGGCTACGATGGGAAACAAGATTGGGTCACAGAGAACCCAGACTCCCAGTGGGAACCTTAACCTGCAGTTACTGCCTGGCAACCTGGGGTCAGGGAGCCCTGTGCCCTCCTGAGCTTTGCGGGTTGGGAGCCCATAGGTAGGAGCTGAGGGGTGGGGCTCCTGGCCGTCTCTCCAGGCTTCCACCAAGAGGTGGCCTTGCTCGGTGATGTGCATTCTGGGTAACTGCCTGGCCACCACTCCCCACCACAGCTTCTCGAGAAAACTTCCGGAAAGCCCTGCTGTGCCTCGATTTGCTTAACTGTCCAACGCAGATAATGGGCTCTGTGCTTGCTGACACTGAGCCTGATGCTATGGCTGGGGTCTGGCATGCTGGGATGCTGGGCACTGAAGAGAAACCTCCAGGGAGCCAACCCTGGTTGTAAGAATGGGAAGTAACCGAAGACATGGGTCAGGTCTGCTCTTCCAGGGTGGGCTGTGGTGAGCAGGAGGGCCAGCAAGGGCCAGGTTAGCACAAGGAGGCCTGCGGTGCCCTTGTTGTTTGTGCAGATTCTGGCACCGGGGTCCAGAGTAAGGCGACTTCGCTTCTCTGCCTAGCCTGGCAGGCAGAGGATGCATCTCTGGAGGTGGTCCCAGGGTAGGGAGCAACAGGGCAGTCTGTCCCTGTCCCTCCCCCGACCCCTGCACCCCGGCAAATGTAGCCTCCATCAGGCTGACGCTGGCCTCCCAGACACCTCTTAGACCAGGTTCTCAGCCTCAGCCCTGCTGCCTGTCGTCCCACAGAGTGTGGATCATTATAGATCTTGCAGGGCAGTGAACGGCATCCTTGCCTCTGCCTATGTGACGTCAGGAGCACCAACCCACGGTGACAAGTGAAAGCCCAAGACCTTGTCAAACATCCCCTGGGGGGCAAAGTCACCCTTAGTTTGAGACCCAATATCTTCATCCTCATCATAGTTGCTCTGCCCAGCAGGGGGAAAAAAAGCTGACTCTGAGGTCAGAAAAAGACTGCTTCTGGGTCCTTTCTCATCCTGTGGGAGCGCTGTGACCTCAGGCAAGCCAGCTCTTTCCATATCAGTAGAGTTGAACAGCAAAACCAGAGCCTGCCACCCTGGGCCCCAGCGTGCATGAAGAGCTGGGGAGGGAGCAAGCTCTTTGCTGCTCATTGAGTACCAGCTTTCTTCCGTTTTCTCTGAGCTTTTAGGCTCCACAGAGGCTGGGCTGAGCCATTTTCTGGGTCCTGCCCAGGGAGCTGGAATCCCTTGTAATAATGAGGAGCCTGGAGCCCAGCCAGTGTCAGCTGCTAAGTCACAGCACCGGAAGCAGGCCCAGCCAGTGCTGAATCAGAGCCGGAAAGGGACCTTTCAAGGCCTCTAGTGCAAGCCTCCCGAGCCTCTTCCTGCCTGATGTCCTGCTGAGCACAGACTCAGCCTTGCTTGCACACTCCCCAGGATGGGGAGGTCACCCCTGCCTACCACCCTCACTCCTCCCAGAAGGCCACTGGAGTCTGGTGTGCTGGGAACACAGCAATCCGGAGTTCAGGCCCCTGGCTACCCTCTCTTCCTCCTGCCCATGGAGGAGCAATGGCAAGGGACTGGGTTGCATGGCCCCAGGTGGGGAGGGGTGCCTGCCAGCATGAGGCAAGCCCACAGGAATGGCTGTGGAGGAAGGTCTGGGAAGCCATCCTTCAACTTTGGGTAGAACCTTGGGACTATGTCGAGAGGGGCCTGACCAGCAATGAGCATGCTATTTTGTGGGAGCCATCCCCTACCTTCCCTGTCCTCAGGGCCCCCAAGTCCTTGACGTGGAGCCTCTCTCTTCTGGGCAGAGGCCCTCACTGAGGATGGCCCTGCATCCTGGCCATCTTTGCGAAGGTGCCTCTGGTTTCGTGACAGGCTTCACATCAGCACCATGCCTCTACCCCATGCCCTGGGCATGGGAGACCCTGGCTCCCACCCAACCCCGAAACCAGAACTTTCCTCGGCTTACCCCTTGATCTGAAAGTCCCGAAAGTAAGTGACACAGTCTTCTCTTCTGGCCCCTGCCGCACCTTAGGCCTTCTCTGAGACTGGCTGGTGCTCTCCTGAGCCAGGACCCCAGACACGTGGAGTGGGGACATCATCTAAGCCTGTGGAAGACCCCAGCAGGGGAGACCACGGGGCTATGCCCTTGCCTAGGTGCCCCACCCACTACCAGCGATAACATGGTCCCACGTGTTGGCTGACCGGAGCCTCCTTTGGGGAGAGGGAATACCTGAGCCAGCCCCCCAGTCTGTCTGTAGCTGGGATTTGGGAACTGTGGTGGGGAACTAAGTTGAAAAGAAAAGTCTGAACATACACACAGACATGCATATGTGTGTTCACAGGCATACAGTCAGGCTGTTAAACCGGGAACCCAGTGAGCAGGAATGGGAACATTTTTAAGTGGGGACCCAGGGCCACAAGGGCAGGGCATTGGTACAGGTGAACAGAGCTCAAGCAGAGGAGGCCATGGCACCAGTGATGAGCTGACGACTGGCACTGGCGCGGCAGGCACCAGGCATGCAGTGGCTCACCTGTGTGTCCTGCAGTAGAGCCATCAGCAGCTATCACCCCGCACAGTGCCAGGGTGTCTGTGGGGTAGAGACTTATTTTGTAGTGTGCCACCTGCACAGCCATACCAGGTACTAGAGCCCTGACCTCACCAGTATGGGACCAGAGAGCTCCAGCAGTAGGGAAAGGAAGAAAATAAAAATAAACATATATATACACAGTAGAGTCCATGTGCACACAGGTACCTATATACCACACTGTCACAGGCATGCGCACCACACTCTCCACTCCACACTGCCTGCCCTTGTGTGCAGTGGGAGCTGGAACTGACCTCAGTGTGCATGGCCAGAGGAGCTTCTCTGTCCCTGTCTGTGCCCAAAGGGGTCACCCCCTCCACCCGTCCACCTGGGTCAAGCCCAGATCCCCTGTCTTCCTGTCTCTCTGTCTGACCCCCTTCTTGGGTTTCTCTTACTCCTTCCACCCTGACATGTCTCCTATGCACCTCTTATCTGTCTGGGCAACCAGGGCTGGGAAGTGGGTGTGGGGGAGGGAGTGTGTTCCAAGTGACCCCAAAGCAGCTTCTTATAGGAATTAGCTCCCTGCCCCGACCCTGGTCCTGTCCCAGGGAGTCTTCTTGGTAAATGATGAAGACCAATAGCTCCCCCCAGTTGTAAGTCAGCTCTGTCCCCCTACCACCACCGCCAGCCCCACCTGCCCCCAGCTCCTTATAACTTGGCTCTCTCCCCTCACCTGCCATACCCTGCCAGCAGCCGGATGGGCATCAAAGACCGCATCCGCATGGGCAGCTCCCAGCGGCGGATGGGTCCTTCCAAGCACCACCTGGCACCTCCACCGACACCCACCTCCCCGGGCGCCGAACAGGCGGGCGAGGGCAGCAGCCCCACCAAGGTGCAGAAAAGCTGGAGCTTCAATGACCGCACCCGCTTCCGAGCCTCCCTGAGACTCAAACCCCGCACCTCTGCCGAGGGTGAGCCTCCATGGGTTTGGGGCCCCGGGGACAGCTGGGGTGGCAGGGATGAGGACACTGTGGGCTCAGGGCACAGAGGCCTGGCTTTGTAGCTGGTTGATGAGCCTTGAGTACTAAGGGGTCTTCCATCCTGTAGAATGGAAAGCATCACCTCGCTCTGCTGTAAGACAGGCACTGGGGTTTTTCAGAACCCAGGGAGGGTGGCGCTGGTAGCAGTTAAGGGTATAGGCTTTGGACTGGAATCTTGGCTCTGAGACTTGGTTTGGGCCAGTGACCTAATGTTGCCAGATCTCCTTCTCCTTATCTGTAAACTGGGAACCGTATTTGCATCTGCCTTAGAGGATGATTGTGAGGATGGGGGGATAATGTAAAGCAAACGGACAGGAGAGGTTTGGGGACTCGCTAAACCTTGCGGATGACCCTGTGCTTCAGAAGGGCGGATGCTCGCGTGAGGAGCCAGGGCACTGGATTATTTCATTGACTTCTCCAGCGATGCTGGCAAGCAGGATCTGCTTTTATCCCTGCTTTGCAGGCATGGAAACAGATCACTGATCTCACAAGTGGCAGAGCTGGTATTCAACAGTGCACGCTATGTGTCCTCACTGCTTACCAAGCCCAACCACCCCAACATGAGGTTGGAGGGCGGGTGGGTCTTGCCAGGGGGCGTGGCAGTGCTGAGCTGTTAGACATCACTTCTTTGAGTTCTAGCTCTGCTTGTTTCTTGCTCGGGGACTTAGGCCAGGTACTGCCCTGGTCTGTGTTTCACTATTTTCATCTATAAAATGAGAAAATTTTGTGTCAGGTCTGGGGAAGACTTTTCCTAGCTTGGACATGCTTCAGGTCCTTGAATGGGGAAAGTGGGGGTGCCAGGCTGAGGATAGGGGATGGGAATAGGTAGCCCCTTTGTCTCTGGGAGGAGGGGACCAGCCACACTGCTGCCTCTGTGCCATGCCAGCCTCCGTGACAGTACTGGTGCAGCACAGACTCCTGCAGATCAGACTCTGCAAGGTGCTGGCCCACAGGATCCTGGGCATGGCTGGGGCCTGGGATCTCTCTTTCCTATCACGGAAGTAGCCTGATATGTTGTCTCCTCCTGCCCCCAGCTCCCATGGGGCAAGCAGAGCACCTGCCTCACAAGTTATTGCTGGTGTCTGGGGAGGAACCACTTGTAGAGGGAGCCGCTGCCTGGAGTTTAAGGGGAGACTACCCATGATGGTGGGCAGAGCGCCCAGCAGCCTTCCTCAGGGGTCCTGGGGCCTCTATGTACAAAGCATTTGCCCCAGGACAAACCAGATGTGCCCTGTCATGCAGCTCCTGCACACCTGGCCCCAGGCAGCTCTGTGCCCTGCTGGGCTCAGGGACAGGTAGGTACAGGTATGCAACACACTCTAGGGTGTTCTGTCCCAGAGAGGGTGGCAAGTGGCAGTGAGGCAGGAGCCTGGTCTGCGTGCAAAACCCCCAACCACCACCATTGCCAGGGGTCTTGGTTTTCCTGCTGGTAACTCCAACAGCCATGGGCCTTGGGAGTAGCCCTTAGGCTTCCACTCATGGGACATCCTTTTCTTCCCAGAGGGCCCTTCAGAGGAGGTGGCGGAAGAGAAGGGCTACCAGTGTGAGCTCACGGTGGACGATGTCATGCCTGCAGTGAAGACAGTCATCCGCTCCGTCAGGTGAGCCTCCCCCTCTCTGTGTCCCCCAGCTGCTCCCCTGCAAGGTGTGCTCTGGGAACTGGGCCACCCCAGGGTGCAGGTGGGACAAGGGACTGCCCCAACCCCAACCACGTCTCCTTGCTCGCGCACTCCCGCCCTCCCACAGCAGCCGTGGGTCAGCATCTGCCTGTCTCGCCTGTGTCTCTGGGTTTCCAAGCTCTCCTCCTGTCACTCCTGGCTGTCTCATCCTGTCTCCCTCCTTGGGTTTCTTGGCTTCCTTTTGTCCGATTCCCCCAGGGCTGTCCCCAGAGCGAGATTTGAAGTCAGCGTAGTGTAGTCAATGGAACAAGCATGGTCAGCACCATGCATGGGCTGGCAAAGCCATGCTAGCAAGTATTTGGGGAGGGGATACAGGCCTTGCTCCCCGCAGCTGTCATTGTCGGCAGTCAGAGCTCCCAGCCCCTGCTCTCTCAGGCTAATTAATGCTACTGCATCTGCAGGTGCCTCAAACCCAGGCAGCTCTCTCTGGGGGCATGGTGGGGAGGGAGGGAGGCTATTTGTGTGGCCCAAGTAGGAGGCTCCCTGGCAGCAAAAGTGCTGAGAAGGGCTGGTAAATGGTTTCCTGAGGGCATAGGACCATTCCTTCCTGGCAGGATCCTAAAGTTTCTGGTGGCCAAACGGAAATTCAAAGAGACCCTGCGACCGTATGATGTGAAAGACGTCATTGAGCAATACTCGGCAGGGCACCTGGACATGCTGGGCCGGATCAAGAGTCTGCAGGCTCGGTGGGTATGCTGGCACTGGACAGGGAAGGGGAAGGAAGGCAGTAGGCCTAGCCCTGTTGGTGAGGTCAGAGTCCCAGGTGCATCCTCAGAGCCACTATGGGAACCCTGGCTTTCCACCTGGACAGGTCTCAGTCTTTGGTCTCTTGTGAGGCCAGAGCTAGCTCCTGTCTTGAGATTGATCCACCGCCCAGCTTGGGTCCTCTGTGCTAGTCCTGTGGGTGGCATGCCTGGGGGGCTTTCTTTAGAATGTCTGTGTCCTGGTCCTGAAATTGTCCACCTTCCCAGTTCCCAAGCAAGCTGCCCTCAATGTCCAGCTCTTGTCTCGGGAATCCTGCATCTCTTCCTTAGAGCCAGCAGTAAGGAAGAATGCTCACCCCACACCTCACACTCCTCTGCAGGCTTGCATCTTTATACCCCATTCATGTCCTCCAGAAAATGAATCACTGAGCACGCAGCATTTGCCAGATGGCAGGGCTGTGGTGGGCAGGGACACAGAGCTGCTGGCCTGAGGGGTCACACAGGTGTCCCCTAGTCAATGATCAAAGCTAGAGAACAGTAAAGGTTAGCAACGAGGGTTCGCTGAGGAGGCAACCCTGTACCTGGAGGAGTTTCCAGAGGGCACCGCAGGTGCAGAGGAGTTGAGAGGGGCAAGTGGCTGGAGTATACTTTTAGGAATGGTAGGATAGCCCAGTGTGGAATGTGGAGACAGACAGAGAGAGGTAATTGATGAGGTCAGAGAGCTGGCACTGGAGTAAGAGCACCAGAGGTTGTGGGGCAGGGCCCCTGGCGCACCTCCAAGATGAGATGCAAGCTTTGGAAGGCTTTGTGCAAAGGACTGATTAAGGTTTGAGCTTTGTTTTAAAAAGGACTGTCTGGGTGCTGCAGTAAGCAAGCACCGATTGTGGGGGAGTGAGGGAGGCGTGAGGGTAGATGCAGGCTGATCCAGGAGGAGCCTGGAAGGTGGGGCAGTGGGCAGATTCTAGCGGCATTTTCACGGTGGAGTCCACAGTGTTTCCTGATGGGCTGTAAGAGAGTCAAGGATGAAGTCTGGGAATCTTTAGCTTGAGCAAGAGGGAAAAGTAAGTTGCCACATGTGGGCAGGGAGAAGGTGGTGAGTAGGTCTCCCTCAGGAGCGTCTGCCCACGCTGGGTTGCGATGCCTCTCGGCTGTTCAATTGGAGTGCTGATCCAACAGACTGGAGTGTGGAGTTCGGAGGAGAGGCACGGGAGAGAGAAAGATTTCTCAGCTATATGTAGGGGAACTGAGAATTGTGGGATTAAAGACACGTGAGCCCCAGTTCTGGGTGTTCAGAGGATGTGCAGAAAGAGAAGAGGAATCAGCCAGGGTGACTTGGATGAAGGGGAGCTGGGGGAGTGGGGCTTGGCATCCATGTGGAGTTAAGGGGTGATCGGATGTGTCAAGTGGTCGTCACACTCAGCGGCATGTAGCTCATCTGGGGGTCTGGCAGTGGTGGCTTTAGGAGCTTGGGGCTGGGAAAGCCCCAGTGGAGAAGATTAGAGGTCAGAGGAACTGGAGGTAGCTGGCAGATAGAGCGCTGGAAGAAGAGCAGAAAAGCCAGGTGGGATCAGGTCAAGGCATGCTCACCTTGCAGCCCCATCTCCCACTCCTCTGTCAGGTGTGTGTCCTGCCTTTGCTCGGCTGGGTAGGGGCCCCTTCCCCTGCCCCCAGAGCAGCCCCTAGCCTGTACCCTTTCCACCAGTGCAGGCTCTGGCCGCTCTCAGCGGGTACCCCAGAGTTCTTGTGCGAGGCAGGGGCACAGATAACGCGCAGGTTCCCTCTGCCCAAAGGGTGGACCAGATTGTGGGCCGGGGGTCCGCTGACCGGAAGGCCCGGGAGAAGGGCGACAAGGGACATACTGAAGCTGAGGCGGTGGATGAAATCAGCATGATGGGGCGCGTGGTCAAGGTGGAGAAGCAGGTGAGTGCATTTGGCATACTGGCTGCCGAGGAGAAGCTGGGGATTCCTGCGGGGCCGCAGGCGCCATGCGAGGCGAGGCTGTGCTTCTCGGAGCCGCAGCACCCAGTGTCCTCACCCGTGAAGCCCCTGTGGCGCCCGCGAGGCCCAGGCCCCGCCCAGCCCCACACGAAGACCCGCCCCAAGGCTGCCAAGCCCCGCCCACAGGGAAGACCCGCCCCAGGCCAGGCCCCGCCTCACACTAAGACTCATCCCAAGGCTGTCAAGCCCCGCCCACGGGGAAGAGCCGCTCAGGCCAGGCCCCGCCCCACACAAAGCCCCGCCCCGTTTCTGCCAAAGTCCCGCCCACAGGGAAGATCGGCCCCCAGGTTCTGCCAAAGCCCCGCCCACAGAGAAGCCCCGCCCCCGGAGGGCTGCTCCTCCCTCAGTCCCGCCCCCAGGAGGCCCAGGTCTCTGCCAAGTACTCACATCCCCGGTTCCGCCTTAACCCCACCGTACTCCACTCAATTGCGTCTCTCAGTGATCTCTTTATCGCCTGGACTGTCCTAACCAATCACAAGTCAAAGTCGTCCCGGGACTTTGCCCCGGCTTCCTCGGACTAAGCTCCGCCCTTCCTGGAGCGGCGCGCGTCTCCCTGGGAGCTCCGCCCCCGGCCAAGTCCCGCCTCCCGGCCTCGCCCCGCCCCTCCAGGTGCAGTCCATCGAGCACAAGCTGGACCTGCTGCTGGGCTTCTATTCGCGCTGCCTGCGCTCCGGCACCTCGGCCAGCCTGGGGACCGTGCAAGTGCCGCTCTTTGACCCCGACATCACCTCGGACTACCACAGCCCTGTGGACCACGAGGACATCTCCGTCTCGGCACAGACGCTCAGCATCTCCCGCTCGGTCAGCACCAACATGGACTGAGGGGCTACTCGGAAGGACGGGATGGCTTCTAGGTCCCCGCCCTTCAAGGCCTCGGACTCCTCTCTTACTTGAACTTGCTCCCCGACCTCGGGGAGAGGCCACACGCAGTATTGAGCTGCCTGGGTGGGCGACATGCCAGCCCCAGGAGCGCGAGATGCCAGGCTGCACGGAGGGCACGCCCTGGGTGGGGGGTACCTTCCCTCCCTCCGTGCTCTGCACGCTCACTCCATCAAGGCCCAACCGCAGCTCGACTGGCCGGGGCAGCACCGTCCCTGGAGTGGAGCAGAGCGCTGGGGCCCTGGGCCCTGACCCAGCTTCCAGCTATGCAAGGTGAGGTCTCCGGCCTGCCCTCTGGATAGAGCAGGGAAGCCCTCCCGCCAAGACCCCACCCCACTGGGGTGGGCCCAAGGTGCCCCCACAGCACCCACAAAGCACAGGACCCTGCCGCGTGGCAGGTGGGCACCATATATGCAACTCTGTTAAATATGCAATTTTGTGGACCCCCATGGGGTCCCTTGCCCCTCCCACTGGGAGATGGCCCCCAGCAGTAGCTGGTCTCAGGCTGCTTGGCCAGGTCCCTATCCCCTTTGGCTTGTCACCCTGTCCCCACGCAGCATGGGGCCTGTTTCTCCCCTGCCCACTCCCACCCCAGGCAGTGCCTGGGCTGTTCTCCTTTGCAGCCGTCACCTCCCAGAAACTCCTTCCTGCCACTGGGTGGCCCCTGCTTTGGGCTCTCCAGACTCCACTGACAGCACAAATGTCTGCTGCCCTAGAGTCCCCCACCATGCTCCGGGTGTTGGGGGCGGGGATTGGTGCAGGCACAGCCCATCAACACTGATGCACAAGTCACACACTTGGCCCCCTGGGCCCGGAGCCTCTCCCAGCCTCTGTAGCTGATGTCAGGCCTCCCAGGTGGCATCTGCTGAGAAGAAGACCTGCCACCAATTTGGGCAGGAGAGTGAGCCTGGAGGTGACCCCACGTCCCTCCAGGTCCAACCCCAGAGCTTTCCCAGTGTCCTTTCTTTAAGCAGGTCAGGAGCCCTGGCTGCTGCCTCTACTTTCCCTTCCCTTCCAGGGCCCTCCTGGGCAGCTCCCACAGCACAACTCAGGCCTAGGCCGCCTTGGTCGGCCTGCCCCTGCAGACTCGAGTTGGCCTCCAGCTTCCACCGTGGCAGACTCTGTAGCTCCCAGAAAGAACAGTACTGTGTGGAGCAGCCGTACCAGCAGGCACATTGACTCCCTCCTTCACCCCCACTTCTCTTCTGCTGGCTGCCCCTCATTTCCCAATCTGCTCCAGGGTTCCAGCACCATTCTCGTATCCCTACCCCCTTTGCTCCTCTTCTGCAGAGCCATTGCAGGTGACAGGAGGGGAAGTGGCTGATGATAAGCCTCTTGGGGGGTGCCAGGGAACAAGGGGCTGAGGCCAAATTGCCTGCATCTCATACTGGAGACTGGCATGCACCAGTGCCAGGGCTTCAGTGGGCTCAGGCTTGGCCCCATGGTGCCCAGCCTCTGCCCCTACATGCCCTTTGCATGTGACCATCATGCCCTGGACGAAGCTTGTCCTGGCTCTCGGCATCTGCCTTGCCCTGCCCCTGTAGAGCCACCCCTGGACCCCCTCAGAGACAGAGAATGAGATTCCCCTGTGACCAAAGGAGACGCGGGAAGAGCCCTCCCTCCTTTCATGATCAAGGTTCCTCCACCCCCACCCCGTTCTTGGATATGCAAGTACCTCACTTTGTTAACTTATTAACTTATTGGTTTCATTAAAGTTTTCAGTAGGAGTCCCTTCTTAAATGAGTTATCCATTTGTAAACTGTGGATGGACTTTGGAACGTGGTCCCCATAATTCTTCATAAAGCATCGGCAAGTTCCGCTTCTTCCACCCGAGCTTCATGGAAATGTGATGTTTCTGTGTCAGAGTGGGCAGCATTCATGTAGCACATGCTGCTTTTGAACAGGGGTCTTGCCCTTCCAAGTACTCAGACTAGATTCTGTTCCATTACAAGGCAGAATGAGTTTATTTTAATGCAAAAATTAAAGTTATGCCTATTTATTTTTCAGAATAGGAAAGAGACTGGGGTTATTCTACTCACTGCTTGTGATGGAGGAAGCCTCTGGTGTCGAGACCCAGAGATCCAGAAAGGCGGCTTCTTGGCTGGCACTGGGACCTCTGAGGGGGGTTAGGAAGAGGTTTGGGAGTGCAGAGAAGTTGAAGCTGGGAACCACGGATGTCACTTGGCTGTTACTGATAAGGAAGTCCTCACTTCCTGCCTCCCAGCCTTCCCCCAGGGACTTGGTGTCCAAGCCAGCTAAGAAAGCAATAATGGGGTTTATAGAGCTGCATCTCCAGTTTCACTTGGAACTAAAAGAAAGTAGCTTAATATGGAACACAGACAGGGTCCATATCCTCCCAGCCACACACACTTGAACTTGTATGTAACAACGGCAGCCTCCAGCCGAATGGACCAAAACATCCTTCGTATATTGGTGATGTTCTCACCCTCTCCCCACAATGAAGACACCAGGTCTCCATTGTCTAACAGGTGTATCCAACTCCCACAGTTAGTCCCTGAATCTATGTTTGGTTTTTTTTTTTTTCTTTTTATTATATTTTTGACAATCTTTACATAGTTAATTAGGGTAAAAAGGTGTAAAGGCTATAGGAAAGTGGGTAAGACTGTTATTTCCATATTGTTTCCTTCACGTTCAAAGGGGGGTTTTAAGGGAGAAGGCCTACTCAGTTTCCCACCCACCCCAGGTCCCGCATGTGGGGCATGCTCCGAGGGTCTTGCTCAAGTGGTTTTGATGGTTCACCAGTTATGAATTACTGCCAATCTTGCCGCTCCAAGCACAATGAGGTCTTTGAAGAATCCACTAAATGACAGCAGTACTTTGCTGCCAACATATAGCTGAGACAGTTGATTGACCTTTTCTGTCTTCTCTCTTTTCTTGGTTAGGGTTCTGAGTCCAGCATTTCGATTAGGGAGATCTCCAAAGAAACTTTGAGGTGTTCCCAGACCAGATTCTTGTATGTACTAGCAAGTACGGGGCCCGGCACAGTCCGTCACCCCGATCAGCTGGTGGTTGCAATTGCTGGGTTGGTTCTGTTTTCAGCCCCGACTTCTGGAACCAATGGGTGTTGCAGTCCAGCTTGGTTCTGCCAAGCACATACTCGGCCCTCACATAAACCAGTGGGAGCTGCAGCCTGGTTGGAGTGACCCACACTAACCCCCACCAGGCCCGCCCCCTACCCTGGTTTGCCAGTAAGTGTAGCAGAGCAGTCCAGTCTGTCCCACACCCCATTTGACTCTCGAATATGTCAATGGGTATTAAAGCTTAGTTCCATCTAACCAGCTCCACTATGCAGCCCACACAGATGCTGTTGGGTGTCTGTCTAGCCACTCCAGCCCCTGTCCTGGTTTTGGTGCCCTCCGTTAGTGTGGTAACCCAAGAGGGATGAGCCCACTATTTCCCTCCCAGGCCTCTCCCACTCCTGGATTATGCATTCTCCAGGTAGTTCCGTGGTTTGACTTGACAGAATTAGATCCCAGTGCCAGCTTCTGCCAGCTTCTGCCAGTGTGGCTAAGCCCAAACAACCCTCACCCACTCTAATTTTGTTTGCACCAGTAGGGTTAATCAGCCCAGCCTGGCTTTTCCCTGATCTAGTCCACATGAAGCCCACAGGTATTGTAGCCCTGCTTAATCTGGTCTGCCCCCATTCCAGCTCACGCTTTCCAGTGGGAGTAGCTATCCAGCAATGGAACCCCCCTTATTCCTCTTGCCAGCTCCACCCCCTCCCTTCCTGGTTCTCAAGTGTGCTGGTTGGGCGCTGTGGTCACATCTGGTACAGGCAACCTCACCTTCGCATTCCCTATTGTGCACTGGTTTTTGTCGCGACTGAATCTGGCTTGACCCACACTTTTCTGGTGCTCGGATTTGCCAGTTGGATGACATGAACTGATTCAGCCTGGTCTGCTCCTGACCCATGCCAAATGTATGCCAGTGGGAAACTTTCTGTGGCCTGTTCTGGGCTGTTTCCTGTCATGTTTCTTGTGGTTACCTGCCAGGTCTGTGTCCTGCCAGAGGAGTTGCCCAGGCTCCTCCATCAGAACCTCTCCCAATGCCAGATTCTGCACGTACTGGGGGGTCCATGAGCCAGCCCTACTCAGTTCACCTCCTGCCTTAGCAGGAACAGTGGCTTTTCCTGACTGGCCTTCAACCCAAACTGGTCCTTGCTATTGGATGTTTCAGCCCAGCCATGGCTCGTCCATACCCACATATGGCTCACACATGGCTCAGTAGGGGTTGAGACCTTGCCTAGTCCATCCCACATCTACCCTGGTCCTCCAGGACACCAGAGGGTGTTGGAGTCTGGCCCGGCTCAGTGTATCCAATCCCAGTCCACACTTGTGCCAAGGGAGACTACAACCGTATTCTAATCAGAATGCAGCCCCCATTCCAGCCCACGTGCTCCTTAGTGGGAACCTCAACCCAGCTAGGGTGTCCCTTAGCTCCCCAACTGAGCCAGTTCCCAGCCATAGATCATGCTCATGCCAGTGGTTGCTCTGACTCAGCTTGGCTCAGCCCCTCACCTGTCCCGACCTCTGCCTTAGACACTGTAGCTTAGCGTTCCTGGCTCACGCAGACCAGTAGGTAGCTCGGCATGACCCGTCCTCCGTCCTGGTGGCTTTGGGTCCATCACAATGGCTCAGTGAACTAATCCTCTACCTCCAAATGCCAGAATCCTAGATGGGTGCCAGTTTTTGGTCCTGGCTGCTCTACTTCCCTCCCAGCTTCCTGCATGTAACATGGCAAGCAGCAGAAGACAGCCCAAAGACTTGGGACCTTGGACCCATATGGGAGACCTGGAAGAAGCTCCTGGCCTTGGATCGGCTCAGCTCTGGCTGAGTGGCCATTTGGGAAATGAAGCAGTGGATGGAAGATGTTTCTCTCTCCTTCTCTTTGTAAATCTGCTTTTCCAATAAAAATAAAAACTTTAAAAAATTTTTTATTTTGAATTTTATGGTACAATTCCATAGAGTCTGGGATTTCCCCTCACCCCATTCCCATCCCCTGACTGATTTTCCCCATATTATTACAATAGTATAGTCCTTCATAAGGAGTTATAATTCTATCAGTCTGTTATTTAAGTGTGTCCTGGCATAGCTGAAACAGACAATATCAGACAGTCCAGCATCCCATTGTCTAGATATGTCCAACAGTTTCACTGGG